GTAGTATGACAAAGAGCTTCATTTCGACCAGGCGTCGTGTGATCGACGAAATGAGCTTCCCACGGGTTATCGGTGACGTCCTACCTCCGAAGTTCCCGCTCAGAGTTTCCTGAAGCACGCGTACAGATGCAGCGAAATGATCCAGGAGATACATTTTACAAACCTGTGTTTTTGACTTTTCTATTCAAAATCAGTTTAATTTGTTTTGTTTTATTATAAGGTAATGAACTGCATCGTCATCAGCATCAGCATCATTATTTCACCGAAATTGATCAATCTGAGTAGTAACAGAAAACAGCAACAACATCGGCGAGGGAACCGAAAACAACTTACCCTCGGCCTCATCCGAGTCCTGGCAGTCATAAGCAACGCCGCACGCGAGGCTCGAGCACGACGTTGATGAACCAGGTTGAGTAGGATGACAAAATCGTCACTAGCCTCTCGTAGCATGACCAATTCGTCTCGTGTGGCGAGCAATTCGACCAGCTGATCGGACAGATTCATCACATCAGCCGTCAATTGTTCCACGTACAATCGGAGCGTGTCCATAGAGAGGCGATTCAAATCTATGGCGGATGTGTAAAAATGAACGGACGAGAGGGAGAAAAAGAGAATATGTTTGATGTGCCCGCCCGGGTGTATAAATCCATATATTGGGAACATCGTCATTGTCAGGCAAAATGTACGCGGGGAACACGTGAGACCGACCTGGACAAGCGTACAAAGTGAAAACATATGAAGGTTAGACAGTTCAGCGGAGAACAATGGCACAGAATGTGAATTATTGTTGATTTGATGATCGTCACACACTGACTGTGCTTTTTCTGACAAAGAATCGCGTGCGAGTAGAACCAGAATTAATACAACTATTGGATGCACAATGAGGTAAATGAATTTGCAAATGACCCTCGTCATCATTGATTGATCGCTTTCATGGACGAACTCATGAAGAACCTTGGAAGTTCAGTTCAGTTCAGTTTGTACAAAACATTAACCATGCACAATCGTCCGCCGGTTTTGGTTGCTGTCTTTCTGCTGTCTATTTGGATGGAGAATAGGAGAAAGACAGGAAAGTTTAAAGCGGAGTCGAAGAGAAAATGGAGAAGTTCAGTGGTCTGAGGTTGCAAAAAAATTGAGAAGACGCACGAACGCCACTGTTTACGACACTCAGCCATATCACCCAGTGTCTCTAACCATCGGTTACGATCATCCCGAGGTTCCCAGTCAAGGAACCTAACGGGACCTGTGGGGCTCAGTCGCCTGGTTAGAGAAGAAATGTAACATAAAAGTGGTAACCGTATTGTGATACGCTATTGACATGCTCGACCAGAGAGTGAGAGAGAGAGTGAGAAATGTTGCCTATAAGGTGACCGAATGATCGCAATGGTTAGATGTTTGTGCGTTGCACGATGCTTTATCTGTACCGGTAGCACCCGGAAGGACAGGTAGAATTAGTGCTTGTGAAACAGGTTTGCTTTAGGTCGGGGTTATCACTAAGGTATATCTCATCAGAAACAACCAACGAGTAACTGGTGGATAATCGCGCTTCAAGGACTCCGGTTCCTGTCCCTGGGTGCTCGGGCTCGGCCAACACTATAGTATTCTAGTGATGGACAGCGTCGCTGCCTATCCAATCCCATAAAAGAGTTTGGTTTTGGTTTTCAATTTCCTTAGCCGGACATTAAGTCCTTGTGCTTAATGTGTATTTTCATTCCACTCTGTGTTCAATCAAATAGGGAATTGTTCTCATCACAAAATCAGTGTACACATGAGAATCAAGCTGCCTTAGTTGGGACTATAATGACCGCAAATAATGAACTCATCCTTCTTGATGATGATGATGATGAGTGACCGATTTTCCTCTTATTGGGTAAAATGCATTTTCCATTGATTCAGACATTTGAAAGGTCCTCATAATACATTGTGTACCAGTAGCCCGGGGACAAATTACCCATTATGGCTTTTTTTTATCTTTCTCTGAATTTCACCAGACGCCCTATTCATCGTCAACGTATTCTCGAGGGTGTGTGATTGTAGAAGCCTGACTGAACATTGTCTTGAACATTCCCGTACTGCGTGTAGAATCCAGTTTAGTTTATCGGACGAGCTTGAGCACGTCTGTCCCTGTTTTCCACCATTCAAATCCAACAAGAAAGAACGATCGATAATTGGGTTTCGTTTTCTTCCCTTTCCTCCTCTGCCTCCTGTCGATTTGCTTGTCACGTTTTGATCAGAATTTCTGGTGTTCTCTCTCTCTCCGTGCGTATTCTACCCGAGGCCATGTGATTTACCGGTCCATCTCTCTCTCTCTTTCTCTCACACACACACACACACGTTATCCATTGCTGTTCATCTTCCTGGTGTGTGTGTGTGTGCACATCATTCACAATGTGTACTAAATAATATGCAACAGGAAAGCATAAATTGCTAATATCACAACGGGAATCTTCGACGAAATCATTCCTCTTGTTGAACACAACCTGACCGAGCTGATAGGACGGCACACGTCGGANGCAGCTAGGATAAACGGCTCTGTAAACGAAAACGGGATACCACACACATTGGAATTGGTCGCCCAACCCAACCAGCCCAATGACCGGAGCTGGTAGGTACAGCCCCGAGCAAAATTAGGAAGGACTGGAGAATGGTCAACTTCGGGACAACTATCCATGAGGGAAATTTGCATGCGTTTCATACTCAGACATGGGAGAGAGCAGGTAGAGGTGGGCGGAGTTCACACAAACCACTCTCATCCACAGGGAGAAGCAACTGGGCTGTGATGACTCATCAACATATCACAATTAGTGGATGAGTGAGCGAGTACATCACATTCCTCGAGTGGACTGCATGGAATTGAGTCATCCTCGTCTCACGGGTATGAACACAGGAGGACAATCGGCCGTGCGCTAAAAAGTTGTGTGTGTTTGTGTGAAAGCGAAGTAGGAACAAGAACAGGCCGGAACTGGAGTTGAAAAAGACCAGTTCTGACGATATGCGACATATAAACTTCAAATCGGCTAAACAACAATTTGCACGATATGTGAATGATCTAAGACGCAATAAAGAACCTCAGCTGGTCGAAGAGATTTGAGCACAATGTAGGAAGGATATGTCGGAAATTATGATCGGAAAGAACGGTAGCAACAAACAGCACAGCGACTGGAGACGGTGAGGCGGTAGCTTTTGGTGAGTACAGTTTGTAGTCCCAGCTACTACACCTTTTCCTGTCAAGCTTTAGCCAAACTCATGCGTTAATAAAATTTTCTTTCTGGCTGATACTATTTAGGTTATAATAACGTGTTTAGCATTAAAAACACGTTCGTGAATGTGCTAACCTAGTACATATTACATATTCTCACGTACGCCTGAGTCCACACGGTACAAAAATCTTTAAGAAAATGAAAAAAGGTTCATGATCTGCTCGAAAGTACGATACTGCTAGATTGCCAAGGCCAAAGCAAGACGGGAACTAGACGGAGGTTGCAAGTTCCAGCGTTATGTTAGACGATGCGCAGATCGGTGAGCAACAGTGGATTGTGTACAGAGAACGCCCCTTAGAAGCAGAATAGCTTTCAACTGAATGCGACTGTGAAACAAATGGTTTGTGAGGTGTGTCCTTAAGGACCCCAAAGAAAAGCGAGAGGAGAGAGCGAGCGATTGTAACAGCTAGAGATCTGAACGTATTCGGTGTTTGGCTCAATATTGACCGTTCAGTTACTAATCGCCTGTCTTGGTTGGGGACATCGGATAGCAAAATAGAACTCGTGTTCAATCAATGCACAGCTGCTTACCCTGATTCCACAGTGTGTTTGATTCGTTACCCCCGTCCAACGGATGTTGGGCACGCAGAGCATCCAGCTCGGACTGTACGCGGTCCCGATCGAACAGACTGAGCGGTTTCGGTTTGGTCGGCGTGTGCACGAGAAGACTGGATGGTGGTCTTTGGGTTTGCGGATCTGGTGTGGTCGATCGAAGACTGTTTGATGAGGAATGAATGGAATGTGGTGTGAATTCATCCGACGCACCCGCACTGTGACCATCCTGAGGAGAAATTGGAAACGAAATTCAAAAACAGAAAAGTCACGGCACATTTGTGTCTCGATCCTGTTTTCAGGGGTGGGGTGGGGTGGGGNGGGGGGATAAGCCTCATTCGTTAGCGGTAGTAGCGAGATCAGACGATGCAACCTACCGCTAGGAGAAAAATGTGGCGAGTCCAAAATCGGTCTCATCACATGATTTGTTTCAAACAGGCATGCAAGTGATCAGCTCTTACGTGCGCTGGTGAACAGAATGTATGAACATTGGAACAGCCTCAAACTGTCTCGCTGGTTCTTCTACTTCATTAACTGTTTGGTTCCCAGTCAGTGAGAACTGGGTTGTTTGTGGACTTGGTCCAGACTGGATTGGTCGTATTTTTATCCATCAACAAATTCTTGAACAGAGACATCTATCTCTTCCATGGTCCCACAGGGTGTTGGCAGCCCGGTGGTAACGTCACCAAATCATCACCTGGGAGAACTTGTGTTCCAATCTAATCACCATCAATCACCCTTTGACTTTCAGTATTTGGGTTGTATGGCAGCTCTTCGATTGGCCGCCTTCCTTTTCCTGAAAATTGTATCATTGTGTATTCAACCAAAGTTAAAAAAAAAAAGAAAGATTCCACCACCCTCTATCGAAAAAGGATCTTCGACCGCAAGGAAAACTTTGCTGCTTCGCCTTGTAAAGTGTACCAAAGAACGACAATTCCTCACAGGCTACTATTGTATGCAAACACCATAAACAATGTTCAAATTTACGGGTAATTTTTCGTCCTAGAAAATGATTGATATTCATCAACAAAATCACTACTCCCGTTTTCTTTCCATATTTTTTTCGTACAGAAGGAGCGTAGTGTCGATTCGCGACAATTTGTCTGAGTACGCTTGCCTGCCCATGCAGATGAATTGCAAGCACTCCCGGATGATCGGAGTGTTAATCCGGCTGTGTTCTGCACGCGTTTTTCAATGTCAGAGTATGAAATGTTGCAACCGGATCGGATTCGTCTACAGCCATTGTTGGTTCAGTTGAGGAGGCAATAGAGAACGTAGACAATATTTTCTGATTGAGCAGTTATGTCTCACAAGCCGGACCAATCTCAGACGAAGTTGTCATACATACAGAGAGTTCGGTTGATGTTCACCCACCTCTGAGAGGTTTCGTTTTCTGTGAGGGGCCCAGTGTATCCTGCAGCTGTCCGTCCACTTCTGTTCTACGATACAGAGAGACATAGTCGTTAGTAGAGGGGAATAGAAACCGACAAGGGCGTTTTAAAACCGCTGCTTACACCGCATTGTCTGGTGGAACCACCGGATAATCAGTACTGAGGTTAAATGAAGAGATTTAGGTAATCGTGGTAGAGCACTGCCACCAATACTTGACCCCACAGATTGTGCTGGTGAGGGTGTTACTCCTGTCACACAAGATAGGCGTCTTGGCCATACGATGGCTGCCGAGAAACGCAGCGGGTGGAAGCGGGCTGAAGTCGACCAGAATAAGACCTGGTATGCACGTACCAAAAAACCCGAACCGGGACTCTCTGTCACGTGGATCGCGGTCAAATGGTCGATTAAATGGTTAGTTGAAAGTCGGAAACCAAAAAGAGGGGAAATAGAACGCAAGTTTGATAGCGAAAGCGGACACCGAATCGCAGAATACAAACATTCACTCAAACAAACGGGAGTACTCTGTGCTTACATATAAACGCTAGAAAAGAGCAACAGTGGTGGTAATAGTAGGAGTTGCGATTGCAGAGGAGGTAGTAGTCGTAGCAGAGGCAGCGGTAGCAGCATTAGTAGTAGGTGCCCCGGGGGAGCGGTATTGTTGATAGCAACTAAAAGTTTGTAAACATTCTTGTCTTACCCTCTCACTCTCTCTCTCTCTCTCTCTCTCTCGGGTTTTCGAGACTGTGAAGCAGCTCATTACTAAGTGAAGAGGGTGGGAGAGAGAGAGGGACAGCGGGCACATGAATTTACGACAGTTTTCACGAATTAGTCAGAAAAACACTGTGATGTATTCGAAGGAATCGGGGATGAAGCCCTGCTAAATGAAAATAAATAAATAAATTTGCATGAATTTATCCTAATCCTAACTGCACAAGACAAATGGGTTAAACCGAGCAAGGTTTATAGGAAAAAATGAGAATCAAACACCGGGATCCACTCCTTAATATGCAGCTTACTTGCATTCACCTGACGTTTACGGTCATACATAGGCTGTTGGATTTTGTATTACCTACAGTTCAAGGCTTGGTAGGCACAGGAAAACAGATGAGTTCACTGAACTTAATATGGTGATGATTTTCAAAAATTTTCGCGGATTTAGCTCATTGGAAAGCGGTCAAAAAATTGTACAAAAATATACTTCGTTCTGTGGGCGGATTCGAGTGGTTTCTCAAACTAAGTGAGACACTGGGCGCCAACCAATGACGCAATCCTGCAGATTACATAATACGCATTTGCGTGAGAAATACCATGCAGAATTTTCATGTATATCCGCTCACTTATAGGGGCAATGTATGAGGCCACTTTCACTTTTGAGGGAATTTACTGCATCATCAACATCATCAGAATCCCACAGCGAAGCAAACTTCGCTCACCGCTGCCATGCGCTCAATGTATACAAAGTGAGAATGTACAAGATGGATGGGGATTGGGCCTGAATGTAGGGAGGCTGAAAGAATGAACCTCTTTGGTCAATGCATAGAGTGCACGGTCAAACTGTAAATACATACCGTTTCAAGCATGCTGAACTGACAGGAAATGAGAACAAGAACGCCACTGCTGTCCGTTTTCTGTCATCTCGCTCAGTGTCTCCAGCCGGCCAGTTGCAGAGTTTTTTGAACCTAACGGTTTTGTGCATTCCTTCATGCATCGTCTCTACCTGATTTCCTCCAACCTGGAGCCGCAGTTGCGAATGAGGCGCGGTGCGGTAGACGATAGGTTGGCACGCGCTATACGTGCCCTAACCAGTAAAGCCTACTGATCTGAATTAGATGTGATAATAACTTTTCCACAAAATTGCTACCAAATACGCGATACCTTACCTCGGAGTTTCTGATACGCTCGCTCCATCCAAACCACGCCAAAATACGTGAATATTGACAATGGAATACTGCCAGACAACAAAGACCTTCCACGCGCAAACTCAGCGTCTCGAAACAGTAGACCAGAACGGACCGCACACAGGTACAGTAGACATGATCTTGGAGTCTAAACGAAACGTCACGTTGGCACCAGGTGTTTCAGTCCTGTACGAGTCCTATAAATACGGACGGTTACTTCCTTTACCATTATCAGTCACACGACTGCCTAAGTGTGAGAAACAATTCACTATCACTATAACTAAAAGGTTTATCCGATCTACTTGATTGGTCGGAGTTATGTGAGAAACTAGCTGTTCCTGTTCGATGTATTTATTTAACGACAAATCTCAGTAGGGATGAGGGGAGTTTTGTAACAGGGTCCGATGGAATAAAATTCAAGAGGATCATGTATTACCACCATCCCCCGCGGCTCTTCACCCATCCTCAGGATCTTTTCTCACGAAAATTCCGTCGAAATCAGACACATAGATTCATACAAACGAAGCGTGGTATATGAAACAGGCTGTTATTTGATAATCTAATCACCTAGCCAACACAACGATATATAGGAGTTATTTGTATCGTTCCAACCACTTACAGAGAGTATGCCAAGTTTGCTTACCTGGTCCTCATTTCAGCTAGATCACTGAT